AGAAAGAAAGAAAGAAAATAAATGATGGATGTAGGCATATACATTGACCAGGAAGAGGGGTTCCAGAGAAGATGGTACTCGCAGAGGAAGTGATGGATGAGACTATAGAGTGATCCTGGATGCAGGGACTAGAGCAGGGGTCAGAAGGAAGGCTCAACCCTATCTGGGGGTCTGGGATGGACAGGGACCTCCCCCACAAGAGACAAGAAAGAAAGGGGACTAGACAAGTCCCAGAATTCTCATCTCATGCCAGTGCATTGGATACTGGGCACAGACACAAATATAAAATTTCCTTTTATTAACCTGAATTACTAAAAATAAAATGAAGAATCAATATAGGTATCCCAGGATGATATGCAAGAAGAAAACAATTTTTCTCAAAACTAGAAGTGTGCTTTCTTTTCCCATTTTCTATTAGGTCTTTTTATTTTAAAACTAATTTTATCATATGGAATTTAATTAAGGGTGTTATATGTTTCTCATATGAATATATTCTTCTGATAATGTATTGTATTTTTTTCTGTCTGTGGAATGACCAACTGAAATATAAATGGTAAAATGTAGCTGTAAAAATGAGCAATTTTGTAAGGTAGGTCTATAAATAATAAACATATGGTACCATCATTTACCTCCAGTATCTCAGAAAAAAAACAGATTTTTAATCTTAGCTGTTCACCACCTTAACTTTTTAGGTATCCAAGACCCTTGAGGATGCTGACTCTTTTTTTTTTCCCCTCTTCTTTTGTTTTTCTTACTAAGCAAGGACTCTATAGTGATTTGTGAAAATGGAAAAAAAAAATAGTGTCAACAAAATAAACACAAAGTCCCGAATGATCACTCTGTCATTTAGAAGTTGATAGAGGTCAAAAGAAAAAAAAAATCCAACAAAACAAATAAATGCTAAAGATAGCCAATTGTTGGGAGTCGTGTACTAAGTGGGTTTTTAGCGAATGTCAAGGCTTAGCCCTAAGCCGTATCCATTGCCAGCCTTAGTCATGGCTTGGGGATCTGACAGTGATGGTGGAGGGGACCCCAGAAGCCTCTTTGAAGCAGGGAGTTTAGAAGAATTCATTTCCAGGAAGAGTTTTTACCAAAGAACCAGAAAATCCTCAGTTGGCTCATTTTTAAAATGGGTAGAACGGTGCCTCCTACCACAGGCCTCTGGGAAATGCCTGGGCCAACACTTGTGGAAATATATAGTGAGAATTCAAAATCTTCTTTTATTATTATTGTTATAATTACGCTGTCTCTTTGATAGTGAAGCCCATAAAGTTTTACCCACTGGACTATTCTTTTAATTAATATGATAAATGCTTATATTTCAGATAGCATTCAAATTAACCTTTGGTTGAGAACAATGTAGGTTAACAATTTTTTTTTCCCTTCAATAAGTGATCCCAAAGGCCTAGTTAAGAAGCATGGGGTATATGTGCGGGGTGTTAGTCCAGGTTGGTTATGGAGACCACGGTTCCCTGGGGAAGCCATCGATTGCTAGAAGCAGAATTTGAGGACAGGTACAAACAGGCATCTGGGTCGTTCATCCCAAAGCTGAGGTCTTGGCTCTCACCATGTGCCGAAGAAATTTCAGGGATGTGATGGTAACTGAGATCTTAGTTAATCATTTTTAAAAAGGATCCCATCCGCATCTAATAGAAAATTACATTCTTTTTTGGTATGTTTCAATCAAGCACCCCAAATTTTAAAGCTTAGACTTAGTCTACGAAAATTGTCATTCAACAAACTTGTGGGCTGGGGTGGTGGCTCCGTGGTAGAGCACTTGCCTAGCACATGTGAGGCCCTGAGTCCAATCCTGAGCACCGCATAAAAATAATAAAATAATAAAGGTATTGTGTCCATCCACAACTATAAATAAATAAACAAGCTTGCTTTTAAGCGCCATCTTCTAAATAATTGTTTTATACTGAAAAGCCATATAAGTTGCCTTTATTATTGCTAATTGTTTCGGTGCCCACCACCCTAGGACTCCTATTAAAATGTGAACTTGGAGAGCAGGAGCCACATGTGTTGGTATCTTTGCTTTGTTGAGGATGCTCTGTAAGCTGTTGAATGACTGGACTAGAGTGCTGTGGTCTGGATATTCATGCATTAAAGACTTGATCCCCAGAGTGGTGCTATTGAAAGGTGGTCAAACCTTGTTCAGGGAAGCCTAGTGGGAGATCCTTAAGTCACTGGGGTATGACCTTGAAGGGGATTGTGGGAATTGGTCAACTTCTCTCTTTTTGCTTCCTGATTCATGAAGTGAATGGTTGTGCTATGCTGGGCATTTCCACCATGGTGTGCTGCTTCATCAAGGCCCAAAGCAAAGGATACTCCCAAAGTTGAAGTGGAACCTCCAAACCATGAGCCAAAATAAACATTTGTTTTTTTATAAGTTAATTACCTCTGGCATTTTGTTATAGTGATAGAAAGCTGACTAATACACAGGGCTTACTATAAATAGAATCCCAGGAGAGACTGGAGAATAAAGAGCTCCATCAAGGACATCTTCAAGGGGAGGTGCAGAGTTCCTAGGAGACTGAGGTTGCAAAAATGTTTACAGTGTTAAAAACAGTATGTAGGGATGAACCAAAGCTGGCAATTGCTTCAACAAGAAATTCATTTCTCTTTCCTGCCAAATAGAACAAAAAGTGTCTTGAAACAGTTGAAATAACAACGCCCAATTTTCTTCATGTTTGTCAAAAACAACAAACAAAAAATAATCACTTCCTGCCACAGTTAAGGAAAATTTACTCTTTAGCAGCCTGCGCAAAGGTCACACCGAAACATCCATCCCTTAATATCACCTAGCAAAATCCTGGATCCCCAAAGAAATACACCATGCTATTTCACATTCAGTGTACCTAAGCAAAGCACAAAATTCAAGACAAAATGAAAAACAAGAAAAGCACCAAAACATCCAGAGTTTGACAGGAAAGAGAAGTCATCTGAGGCTTTTTGCTTTCAGAATAAAAATGCTGTTGCTCAAACTCCTGTTCATTCCACTGGGCTCTACCCAACTACATCAAGTGTTTTCACTAACCATACAATTGTGCCTGCCAGTCACTCTGCTGGCAGTGTGTGGGAGACTGACAGTTCAAACGGCAAGTTTTCAAGCAGTGTAATTTTGTAACAGTAAAAGTACACTCAGGAAAAACAAAAATGTGCATTGTGTATATAATTAATATAGGGACATTTATGATACTTACTTCACTGCATTTAAAATACAAGTCAAAGACAGGTCCGTCTCTATTCTCACCTCATGGGTGGGAGACATGGTCTTCCCTCAGGTCATTGGAGAGTGCAAGGCATTGTCCGGATGGTAATTGGAGAAAGATGAAAATCTACTTCTGTGCACAGTTGGAGAACCGAGGAGGCGGTACCCAAATGAACAGGCAAGTCCTAATTACAGGGAAGCCTTAAGTCTGAGGAGGTTACTTTGCTAATGGACCTGGCGATAACGAGGTTCATTGACATCGTGGGGGGGGGCCTTATCTTTGGCATAAGCCTGGGCCAGGAGGCAGACACTTGAAGTGAAGCTGACAGGTTTTTGAGAAGGCTTTTGAGGGACACAGCAGCTCTATGGGTAAGCTCTAAGGTGAACCCCTTCCGGCCTCCACAGTGCTGCTTCTGGATACTCTTGCTTGGTTCTTGTCCTCCGTGATCCCACGTCTTAGCATGGATCTTCCTGTATTGAGAGACAGAGGTGATTAGATGACATGAGTTAACTGACAAGCCTCAACACCCGCCCCATGGTGTCACGTGATGCAATATCAGCTCCTTTACTTCAGTTACCAACCATAAGAATCAGATTAAATCAAATTCATTTATGGACTCTCAGCTTAGGGCTCTTTCACTTTGAATGTTGTGTTGCTTGAAAGATTTTTTTTTTAATCTCATTGGGTACCAGAAATTAAGAGGAAATTATTGATTTTATTTGTTTAAAGACACTTTGAAAGATTTTAAAGAACTCCTTGGTAGAGAATGTTTGGAACCTATTGTCTTCTGACCTCCATCTTGGAAACATTTCAAATAGAAACACACTACCTTCTGACAGTATTCATGGATAACCAATAGATTTAAATCTTTGGGAAGAAATAAGCAAATGATCAAACTTTTTATTTTGTTTTTTTGATGAAGTTAAATGTATAGGTTAGTTTAGTCTACCATCC